GGGGGGGGGGGGGTGTTGAACACCCCTCCAGTCATCAGGTAGTTAGCAAAATATTGAATCCCAGTTGGTAAATTGTTTTAAAAAATAACATGTATATAACGCATGCTCTGATTGGTCGAAACCAGTGTTTGGATCAGGCCATCCAAACACGGAAGACTATCGTGTTGTTGTTATTTTATAAATTCGGCTTGTGTTTTCGCGCGCTTTTCTTAACTCTCGCAACATTCCCGTGTGTTTGGATCAGGCCATCCAAACACGGAAACCATAAAGTAATTGTATATTCCTAGTAAGCAAAACATGAATTAGATAGGAATTAGATAACATAATAGCTAAAATGTGGAGAGATGTACGAAAACATTAGGGAAAAATAAAAGAAAAAATTGGTACTTTAAATATCATGTGCACATGATAGTGTCCAAAGGATACGAGGAGTTTTCTCTGTGCGACAAACAAGATAAAGACAAGCTGCAGCAATATGGTTGGTTCTTCTTCCCTTTGTCAGCCTCTTGCTTACAGCGAGTTTAAAAAACATGTACGCACTTTCAATACAGTGGTTATTTAGTTGCAACTGATTAGCTAGTGCTTGAAGACGTCTTTTTCCTACAAACATTCAAGGGACAAAGTTAATTTATCAAACTCTTTTCTCCAACTTTTCAATTGCACAACAGTTGACTAATTCACACAATCAAATAATGTGTTTTTTTGTAAATTTCCTGGAAAGGAAATCTTAATTTTGGACACTGTGTATGGATTGTGCACTTCTCCTTGACAAGTAAAATTGTCTGGCATTACACAGAGTAAAATGATAGTGTAGGGCACATTGGGGCACAGTGCAACTTAATGGGTTAACTAGACACATGGGCAGATAACCTTGTTAAACCCAATGAGCGCCAGCACTCACTCCTTGGCGAGTAAAATATAAACAATTAAATCAGGGCACATTAGAGCACAATCCCAGTTAAAAGGTTACATCATAATTAACACAATAATTTATATTATAAATCGAAATTGTAATGTAGGTACCATTTTCCAAAGTAACAGTCCTTGATTCTCTACCATAACCAGGTCTGAATCCCAAACCTTGACCAACTTTATTCCCTAAAGAATCAATACAACCTCCCTTAGTCTTAATTCACATATACTGACAATAAGGCAGGGGGGATCATTAACACAGATTAGCAATATTGAAGGAAAGGGGGAGGGGATTAGCCAATGGATAGTGTATATCCACCATATAAGTAGGCTGTTACAATATTGAAAAAATCGATATAAAAAAATATCAATAATATCAACTATATCGAATTATGCAAATGAAAAACGTAAATATTTAGTCAACTTGCATGTATATGCATCACAGACAGTTAAAAAGAAGTGCATGAAACAGTCATGGTACGTCTCAAAGATTTATTAACAACAGTTTATCCGTTTATAAAATTTTAAAGTTTAAAGATATATAATGTTAAGCTTTCAATGCCACTGCTTGGTAATCTTTAAAATTTCAAGCATTCAATGCCACTGCTTGGTAATCTTTTGTGGTCACCAGGGTCTTAGCTAGGATTTTAGATCTTGGGTGTGTTTCTAAATAACCAGGGTGTGCACATGTCAATTACCTTGCATATCCAAATTCACGGTTCTACAACAACGGACAATGCCTGTGGTGGTTCTATGCTTTGCAACCAAATACAAGGCGAGCATATACTCATATTGCGCACTGTCATTAAAGCATTAAGTTATTTCAGCAACTCTTGGGGGTATTTAAAACTTAAAACCACTTTAAACACATGGTTACATCACAGATCACTTTTGCCAATTTCAACAACAAACAAACTTTCTTATGAGGTAAATAGAAAGAAATTCTGTCTGTTGTAAGTAGCACCATCTTATTTTATGAACGTACACGGCCTTATATAAATAATGAAGCCGCGTTCATTTTATCTAGCCGTGTTTTTCCATTTTTGGCCGTGATAACACGGCCAACACGGCCTTCTAGCTAAGACCCTGGTGGTCACAGTTTCTCTATTTTCTCTTTTAATTTCAATTGCCCACACACTTGTATCATAAATTCGCAATTGCTGTTACACTCACATTGTCTAAACTTCACCGGTAAAAACAATAATTGCTGCAAATAATCGGAGATTAAGTTGTTTAGTTACAACTTTCGATATGCAAAAAATCAAATATCAATACTTTTGAAATATCGATATTTATAAAAAAATATTGATATATTGCAACTGCCTACATATATTTAATTTAATGATTTGCCCATGTGATATACCATTATGTTACATAAAAAGTAAATAAAATAAAGTAGAAACATTTGGGCTAGGAGTCTATAGAAACCTTGAACAGGCTTTTGATTTAGACCCCTAGTTTAAAGTCTTGGTGCTAATATATATAGTTAAATTGTCATCGGTTCTAAGTATTTACAAAAAATGAGGTTATGTTACATTCAATATTTGTAGGAGAGTATTTACTTTTATTAATTTAAATGAGAAGCTTGAGTTAAATATCTATTTAAAATAATATTAATAATATTCATATAATGCACAGGGGCTAGACTAAAATGTGGAACCATCAATCATGACTTGTGCTTGATTTTGTTACCAGAAACACAGGAAACATGGGGGGGGGGGCAAGATGGGCTTTCCTGTCTGGCCTGATAAATAATTCCTATCTGGCTCGATAAATGAAAGCATCCTAACTTGCAGGTGAGAGGGATTGAGGGAATTGCATTGACTGTCCCCACAGCCCATAGACGTCTGGAGGGAAGCAGGAGCAAGAGGCACGGTCAGATAAAATAGCCCATTCGATATTTCCTCTGCTGAAGAATAAAATCTACATTTACTTATTCACCTTCATTTGAAACAAACTGTCCAATAACACTGGTCCCGCCAGCACTAGTTTCTTGAAAGCCAACTTCAGAAACTATAGCACCTTCTTCTAAAACTGAGCCACAATTCGTACAAACTGTGTCCCCACGGGATGGATCAAAATCTATATCACTACTACCACATGTTGAACAAGCACGGGACATTGTTCAAGCCTCAAAAAATACACAAGAAAGCAGTATATGAAGCATTATTTGAAAACCTCTGAACCTTCTAAATTCGCGGCCATGTTGAATATTAATTTATGCGGGCACTGATCTCAAATTTAGATTTTAGACTGAAGTATATATCGCCCAACCACTCCCCCATAGGCTCGCAGGCTTATTTTGCATCTCCAGACGAGTTACAATGAATTAGATTACAATTATTGTAATGTATAGATTATACACTGTATGTTTTGTATTTCTTTTGTTCATGGTATATTTTACATGTACAATAAATATTATTACTTACAACATCAAATGTTGTTGAGTACATAAGCCCGTAATTAAGCCGTCCCATGTGCAAGCATATATTTATGGTATACCGTATTTACTTGTTTGAGCGCCGTGGCGTTCTTTAAATTTTCCGAGCTTCAGATGCGGCGCTCATTCGGGGGCAGCGCTCAATCGGGGGCGGCGCTCTTTAAAAAATATTTTATTTGTGAATTTATATAACAAGAACTTTTAACAATGAAATAAACAAGTATTAAATGTCTTCGTCACTAAATGTCTCCATTTTGAAGGTTGAAAGTTTTTACACTGTTTAGTGCGGCGCTCATTCGGGGGCGGCGCTCTTTAAAAAAATTTGATCTCAAACGCGGCGCTTATTCGGGGGCGGCGCTCAATCGAGTAAATACGGTAGTTGCATGTTTTTCATACTACAATTTCAATCAGCCAATTAATACTCAATACTGAATAGACACTTCCCAAATTTGCTTGCTTTCAATGAAAACTTCTTATTTTCAATGGATTACATTGTTATACTAACTTATTATACAGCTCAGTGGCTTCCACTTTTGTCAACTTTTAGGAATTTCTAAATTTCTGCAAATATACTAATACAGGTTAAAAATTGCTCGGAGGAGTTAGGATTTGGGGAAATTAATTCGAATAAGCTGAGCAAATCCAATTAGTACCAAATATCTGTTAAAGAAATTAGTGTTTTTTAATATGAATTTGTACAAGGACCAAAATTCCTTGAAATAGATTTTCATATATCAAATTTGCACAGTTGAATGCTAGCATATTAATATGGAAATAATGATATGGTTCAAAAATTTAAATAAAAAGGAATGATAATTTTTTGTGTATGTTTTGATGTTATGTACTCAGGTGAATATATTTTTCATGTTACTCTGAGTGTATATCCACACCGGGCAGGCTGAAAAGTTAGCCTGGCCACACAGTCACGGTGGGAATCGTTTGGGGGTGGGGTGGATAAATATCTGGGGTTGCTGCTGCTTGCTTTGCTTGCGGCCAGAAAATATATATATTCAGATTTATATATTCAGGGGGGCTTATATTCGGAATGGCCCGAGTGTTAATGAATATGGTGGGCTTATACACAGCGAGCTTATACCGGGGGGGGGTTATATTCGGAGGTTTACGGTATATTGCTGTCGAACGTTTCATATATCCTAGCTGAATCATACTGACATCACCTTGGTCATCCTTTTTGTTAGGCTTTATAGCCAAAGTGAGATACTTTCCAGAAGAGTAAATTCTGTAAGAATATACACTATGTGCAATATTTTAGAAACTTTATATCCAGGTTTATTAATAAGTTAATTATTAAGTATTATTATAAATAGTTCATAAACAAACACGAAATACTAGCCAAACTAAGCAGTTTCCTCTAGACAAGCTTTAGACAAGAATATTTTCTCATCAACTATCGTCATATGTACCTTTTGTATCAGTACTAGAAACCAACGGCGGTGCGACCTCTTGCACGCGTTTAATATATATAAAATTGACGGTGTAGATTTCACTTCGCCTTCAATCCCTTCATCTTTTCCAGTCGATTTATCGCCTTTGCTAGCCACATTCTTTAAATTTCAAACTTCGACAAGCAAATATATGTGAATAATATATATTTACTTAAATATTTTTACTATTATTATAAAAACAAGGCGCAAATATAAATTTGTTTTGACAAATATTTTCAAATTTGTGTGCCGTCTCGCACATGTCTCGAACTCGCGGGACCGGCGCGATATTTTCTTGCGTCTTGATTGGATGATGCTAACGCATGCGCAATGTGTATCTGAGTCGCGCATGCGTTCATTTCAAAGATTAGGTAAACACTCGCTAAAGCGTCCCACATGCACCAGACTGGGCAACTGTAACGTACTTATATACCGAACTGTTACTATTACTTGTGTGTGGTAGTTACCGATCATAGGATCTTGCGAAAAGGGTGCCAGGCATAATGGTCTGGGGGCCGCCGGCACCCTCCCCCGTAGTTCGTTCGATACCGGTTGGTAAGCCACCTATTCACCGCCTCTGACGATAGCGTTGAGTTTAGCCGAAATCTAGCTTAAACGTTAACATACGGCGTTCTAGCGGCTAGCACGAGACGGACTTGACCGATACGAGCTGGCAGAGTCGGGAAGTATGGACTGATGGGGCACTTTTCTTTTTAAAATTTTATTCGGTAACTTTATATCCTTCGATGTGGCGGCTCAACAGATCTCCTAATTTACCGATCAATTGAATTGCGACTAAAAATGTTAGCAGTGTGTTTTGTGCTTTTTATCTAACTTATAAAAATCTAAAAATCTATCTTTATTCTTTGTTTATGTCATATCAAATTTAAAGACACGATTAAAAACCTAAATTAAACTTTTTAAAGTTCTATAAAAGTTTTTAAGTTTCACGCCAGGATACCAGCTATTTCACCATTTTGTAGGTACCCGTCTACTTTCTGGTCCGCCTTCATTTTAACCAATCAGATCACGATTCACAAAAGCTCGTAATCTGATTGGCTAAATGAAGTGATCCGTTAATCCCACCAAGCTTGGAATCCAATCTTGGAAGCTACTAGCTAGAGTTTGGTAGTACCAATGTACCATCCGAATATGCGTTCACTATAGCCCGAGCGAGTTATTGCTCTTTCGAGCGTCTTGCTAACTTTATTTTGCCGTGACTTTATATTTTGCCCTGAGTTAATTTTGTTTTGCCGTGAGTTAACTTTATTTTCCCATGAGTTCAGTTTACTGTATTAATTTCATTTGCCGTAAAAGATCAGTGATGCAGGGTCATGAGGGTACAATGTTAGGGTATAAAGGGGTATTAAAATGTGAATAAGTGTTATTTCATAGCTATGTGAATTTGACATAAAAACAAGCCTGTCCGAGCCGTTTTAAATTGCAGAATAAAATACGAAATTGTATTAATTTTTTGATAAATACAAGCAAAGTAAAGATGCCAGCTACAACAAAAAAGCCAGAACAGACGGAAGAACGAATTACAAGCCCGATATTTTCGAAAGGAGCTTATGTATTTCCAAACGGCGACAAGTACAATGGCGACTTCGTACATTTGCCAGAAGGCGGACTTTTAAGGCAAGGGAAAGGCGAACACATTGGAAATGATGGTCTGAAATATGAAGGTGAATGGCTTGAGGATAAAATGCACGGAAAAGGAAAAATGAATTGTGCTTCTGGCGCTGTGTACCAGGGCGATTTTGACATGAATCGTTTCCATGGTTACGGCAAATATACCTGGCCAGACGGCTCATTTTTTGAAGGAACTTTCAAGGAAAATAAAATGACCGGCGAAGGACGATTTACTGATGTGAATAACGAAGTTTGGTTGGGTGAATTTGCACGCAATTCAGCACTTGATCTGAAATTTAATTTAAATATGTAATGGTTATGTTGGATTCGTGAAAAGTTTTTATGTACAAAGATGTAATAGTTTGTTTGTAATTGTATCTATTTATACATCAACCTCAACCACTGTTCCCAGTTCGCTGCCTCGTCCCTACTCCCTGTTCTGATCCTTTCTGAGTTGACGTCATTAATTAATCATCTCACTATCTGCAGATCTTTGCGAAAAATGGACCTCAGAATTGAAATCGGCATGCTCAAATTTATTATAGTTATAGACTATACTGAAAATTTCATGATGCTTGGACATTTGGGGCGTGAGTTATGGCATTTTGAATTATTTTTTTAGTATAGTCGATTTCCATCAAATATGAAGATTTCTGGGGTCCATTTCCAAGATTTCTGAAGTATGAAGATGGAAAATTGATAACCAGCCCTTCAGGTATCTGTTTGAAGTCCTGGCTAGAAATAATTTGGGTATGGCCAATACTGTTTTGCTCTACTGAGGCTCTGGCTATTAATTGACGAGCAAAGCGAGTATGCAAAGAATGGAAGGTCGAAGCTTCAAGGGCGCTGTGAGTTGAATGGTGGGCAAAGGCTTGCAAGCTTCGTCTATTAGGTATATTGTCCGAGTGCAAGACTGGGCTAAAAATTTCAGCTTGACATGACTGCAAGTACCAGCGAATTACACACAGCCTCTGGCTGTCAAATGTCTTCTTAGCGCTGGCAAAATTTGCCCTGTTATAAACACATGTCCTGTTAAAAAAATATTATATGGTAAGATACACAGATAATGAAGAAGAATAAAATGAAGTTTACAGTCATACTGTTGAATAATAACAATTACAGTCAGGCCTGAATTACAGTAATACTTCTGAGTTTTGAGGTTGAATTTTACCCATCCCAAAATGACGTCACAAAGGATTTGTATCTGCCGAGATAAAATCAGTGTCTGATATGAAGCCTGGTTCACATATGCCTGGTGCGCTATCATAATATCATTGTTTACAGCTGTTGATGCATACATTCTTTTGTGGATTTATATTTGGTTGAACTGCTATATGCGAACCAGGCTTTACTATGTAAAAGTATTCACACCCATCCAAAAATGTTGTACCCTGGGTGCCAGAGCCTCTTGTGATAGAAGTGAGGATGCGACGAGGAGGCTCTGGTCAGACCAATGAAAAGACTCACATAAGTGGTCGGTTAACCAATGAAAAGACTTGAGCACATAAATTTAGACCAATCACATGCACACAAACAGAGTTTAAATATTGAACTCACCAAAGTGAGGCTGGATGCTTGTGTGACCAGAGCCTCCTCGTTATGTCCTCACTTCTATTACAAGAGGCTCTGGCACGCAGGGTAAAAATGATGCGAACATGGAAAAAATTTTCTGTGACCAGCATAACATCCTGCATTTGTTATTTGAAATATGATACGGCTTTGATACGCTGGAATTCGATTGACTTGTAGTCACTTGTAGCCCTGTAGGCTAATCGAGATGTGACTACAAGCCAATTCCAGCGTCCAGCGTATCAAAACTGTATCATATTGTTTCGGTGTTCGTAACATTTTTGGATAAGTGAAGACTTTTACATCGCCAATATCCACCGATTTTATCTCGGCAGCGCGCTTGCTGAAGCGGCTAATCCTTGTGACGTCATTTTGGGGAAACGCCTGCTGGGGCACTAGGCCAGGCAAGTGTTTACTTTCGATATGTCAAATATTCTGTGCAATACACTTCATACTGCCCTTAATTTACTCTCGCGAAAAGTAGGCGAGGGCCTCGCAGAAACTGAACCACCAAAGAAATATTGTCGGAAATTGGCTACATCATTGAATAAATACGTAAAAGAATATTTCTATGGTAAAAACCTACACAATGCTTTCACGTTTCTCGAAACGGCTGTCAGAGACCTCGCAATCTGTTACGAGAATTTGGAGGGAATTAATAATCCAAGCACTACCTTAGTCGACAATCCGACTGGTGATCAGCATTTGATTTATTACACAGCTAATGGCTCAAAACTCGAGAGAGAATTGCGTGAAATTAAGTCGAAAGCGAAAGAAAAGTTCGAGTTTGCCATAGAGAACTTCCGGAAATGCAAAGAGGAATTGACAAAAATATGCGAAAATGAATCTCTGACTTTACAAGAAAGAATTACTGCAATAAAAATACGAGTGATTACGGAAATTCTTGGAAATTTGGAGGATCTAACTGTTGCTGCTAAGAACTGTAGGGAGATTATCTCCGAAATGCACGAGTCTCCGGGAATTCGAAGCCTCTTTCGCGCTGTGCAGCCCGTTAATACAACTCGGGCTATTAAATTCAAAATGTTTGGAAGCAAACCAGTCCAAATTAGCGAGGAAACTAAAAACATTAGTTCAGTGATCAACATAAACGAGGCAGTGTTTAATTTTAGGAAGAAATTCCTCAGAGAAACAGTAGCTATTTTCGACTGGCCTTGTATCAAGGAGAATGAAAACCCGCCAACTTTCCACCCGATTATAGGACAATCACCAATGAAAATTGACAGAGCCATGCTGAATATGCCAGATTCCTCAACCCAGGTAGAAACTAACGGATTGGCAATAAATGCACGCATTTCTGCTATCAGTTGCAAAGGGGAAGTATTTGTGGTTGCAAAACACAAGGAGAAATCATCTGCTATAGTGAGAATAGTTGATGAAGTTGTGTTTCCATTTTGGTGCTTAAAAGAACGTTTACAAAATTATGAAAACGCAAGTGAATTGGTAACCGAGCCTAGTGAATTGGAGGAACCGGAAAATATACAAATTATCTCGATTTGCGTGGACTGTAATGATTGCAATGTTCCAAAAAAATCTGGGGAGCTTCATAAAGATTGTAAAAACACAATGTATGTTCTTGCAGCCTACACATCCGAAGGAGAAAGCATTTTCATGTTGTTTGTTGTTGATGTACGAGGAAAGCTTTTGCATAAAGCTGAACTGACATGTCTGCCTCAGAGAAATGTTTCGGTTAGAATTAAGGGCAAGATTTTGTGCACTAGAAATGAGGTAGTAATTTTTGATATTTATAGGCGTCAAGTATACCTCTGCACCAGAAGAGGAGAGTTAGAAAAACCTCTTGACATTGCAAGACAGAAGCCTAGCTTAATTCTATCGACAGCAACAATTTCAGATGAAAATGAAATTGTTGTATTGGAGAGCCCAAACAAAATTCATTTTTACAGCATCAGTAATGGAAGTTTTCTTGATGATCAGGGTTTCGAAGCTTGCAATGAAGTGAAAACAATGGCGTTTAACCATGTCTCCAATGAAATAAACATTCTTTGCAAAGATGGTCGCAATTCAAGAGAGTATCACTTAATGCGTTATGCAAAAAGAGCTGGCGAACTGCAACAAGATATGAAATTGCAAGAGGATAGATACAATTTTTGGGCAAATGCAAGTTTAATTTCGCATCCAAGTGGACCAGTAGTATTGCTTGATAATAACAGACTACTTAACCTTCAGTAGGACAAACAAAGGAGTGGACCATTAGAAAAGTGACCAGGGGGGCACAAAAAAATCATGGAAAGGAGAACAAAAGAAAAGAAAATTTTTGCAAAAAGGGATTAATTAAAAATTTTAATATTTTGCAAAAAAAATTCCAGAACAAGCAGATGGCTGAAAAAAAATTTGTGCAAGCTGAAAATACCCCCCTCCCCCTTCACTTTTCTAATGGTTCACCACTAGTGGAAAAATTCCATTATTAAATTAGATGGAGTATGATGTGTATATATCAATTGAGACTTTTCAAATATAGACAAAAATCTAGGAAAAAGACTTGAATGAAGTAGAGAAGTAAAAGCATTAATCTATTATGATAGTATTATCATATACCTGCATGTTATAACAGGATGTCAATATTGGGTTGGTAAAGTCTCAAGCATTTTATTATTCTTTTTGCATTAAAACTTCTTTCTACATTTAAACTTTTTTCCATAAAAATTATGTACTTTAATTCTCTGTATACAAGTTAGTCCTTATGCCGAGTACATAATGTGATTCCACTTTGTTCAATTAAAATCCTGATAGTAAGTGCATATTACCAAATCAGAAAACAAGTTTTTACTCTGTAAATGATAGATTATTTCTGCACCACAATTTCGTTTTGTATGCATGCATTTTATGCATTGAAAAATAGTAAAGATTCTAGCAAAAGATATAAAAAATTAACTCTACTACAACCTGATTCCGTATACTTTGTGCAACACACCTGAAACTCATTAAAAATTCGGAGTAAATTAGCCAACCATATTACTTTATTTTGCCGGATCCTTGAACTGGACCAAAATGAATTTAGTCTTTGGACTGGACCAAAATTGTTTCACTTCACTTTAACTAGCGATTTATGATCAGATTTACCATAAACTACCATATATCCAGTCCTTGTATCAATATCATACTCAGGGACGCCGGAACTGGGGGGGGTGCAGGGGGGGCGGCTGCCCTCCTTGCCTTTTGCTAGGGGGGGCAGGGGGGGCAGAAGTGCCCTTTTAGTTGTAAAATAATACGTGATAAATCACATTTCCAACGATGCTTTTTGTAGGAAAATCACGAGATTCAGGTAATTTATAGTTTATATTTATAAAAATTTTGGGAAATTTTTGGAATTTAGAAAAATATTTTGAAGAATTGGCGAAAATTTAAGATATCCGGAAAAATTTTCGGCTTCACGGAAAATTTTTGTATGTCCGGAAAAATTTTTTGACCCCTAAAATGGTACACTGACCGAAATTTTTTTGGCGACGGGGGGGGGGTAAAGTAAAGGTGCCCTTGGTGTGCGCCCGCCCCCCTTTGCCCTATTATCGTTCCGGCGTCCCTGATCATACTCTGTCAAGATATAATGGTCTGGGAACCCGGCAAACTTCAAAACTACAAAATAGAAACTACAAAATAGAAGGGTGTTTGTATTCCGAGTAATGAGTAATGAGTAATGAATTTTCGTACTTGCTTTGGAAAAATAAACCATGAAAATATTGACAGTGATTCTACACACTCCTTGCCGTGAATAATTATAATGCTGTGACGATGTCATGGTATGATCAAATATGGCCATAATTTCGCTTATGGCATACTCGTTTTTAGCATGTCACATATATATTAACCAGTTCAGCCTTCAAAACGATCGTCCCCAAGTTGAAAAATTACATGTTCGCAATAGTATACTGTAGAATACAAGTGCTGTGGTATAAAGGTTGTTTTATGATAAATTTTCGGCCGACATATTTGTTTTGCTATCTGCGATTCTGCGGTCATGCAGCCAGTATAAAATCCGCAATTGACGTCCAAACGTTGTCGAAAACTAAGTTTTCAGTTTATAAAACCAAGATATTACTCTTTAAATCGAAGAAAAAACACGAAATTTCTGCTCACTCTGGATTTTTGTCGACCGCTATATTAGTGTTTACTTGTATTCTACTATTGCGAACATGTTATTCAACTTAGAGACAAACGTTTTGAAGGCTAAACAGTCTAAACTGGTTAATATGTGACATGATAAAAACAAGTATGCTATAAGCGAAATTATGCAGGCCATATTTGATCATACCAGTTTAAACGGCTGACACTATCACAGCATTATAATTATTCACGGCAAGAAGTGAGTGGAATCACTGTCAATGTTTTCATGGTTTATCTTTCCAAAGAAAGAACGAAAATTCATTACTCATTACTCGGAATACAAACACCC